GGGTGATTTCTAGGGGATGCTGACTGATTTCTAGGAGGATGCTGACTGACTTCTAGGAGAACAATAGATCACTAGAGACTTCCCAGCATGATCAAAAGGCAAAAAACCAATTCCTTAAAATGGATATTTTCTAAGACAGTAGATGTTACTCAGTGGGCCATTGATTTTTAAGAAGATAATTTTCCAGTGCTAGTAAATTTGATGCTTTTCTGTTATAGATTTTTGAGACTATTTTAGCTATTGTAAACAATCTTTGAAGCACTGCTCTGATCATTTATAAGCCATGAGATAGGTACCTAACACGGGATTCACAGAGAGCAAACACCCAATATGTATTCGTAAAATAAACAAATGATGTGTAGAGTTAAGATGAATGACATTGTAAAGTTGAAAGAGTTCTCATAAGCTGACTAATCTTCTTTCAAAGATACAGTATATTAAACACATATAAAAGCTTAACATGGTCTGATAATGTCAACATGAAAAATTTACTTGGTCATCTTTCTTCCCCAACAAAATTTTAATAACGTAATTTCTATAGCTTCTTTTCTTTTTTATGCAATATTTAAAACATCAGATTAATAGGGCAGTACACAGGATTAGGTTACGCTGTCTGCAGTGTAAGGCTGAGTCTAAGCTGCAGCTGTGTCCTTCTCCCAGGAGTGCCGCGTCCCTGTGTGTTGCTCCCTCTGGATGGGAACTTGCTGAACCCTTTCTGCCCGTCCTGAACTTTTCTCTTAAGTGAGTATGTAGTTGTTCATCTACTAGTATTGACTTAATATTGAGCACATGTGATGCTTGTTTTTCCATTCTTGTGGTGCTTTACTTAGGAGAGTGTTTTCCAAATCCATTCACAGTTACAAAATTGGGAGCTTGTGTTGTGGGCCAGTCTCACTGGGGCTAGGTGATATCTCAAAGGAGTTTAGATTTGCATTTCTCTGATAATTAGAGATGATGTGCATGTTTATTCATGGTTTTATCTGACCTATCCGGCGGTCCGCTGTGTCTCCCACACAAATACCAGAATGACTGGATCCAGGAACATCTAACAGCACCCTGCCGTTCTGGTGCCACCCACCCAATACCACCCACAAAGCCTGCGATTTGCTATCATCATCTCAGAGTCCTTAAAGCTCCTCCTTCCTGGGACTGGTGCTGAGAATCCCAGTCAGTCCCCATGGTCTCTCTTTTCTCTGATTCTTTGCTCCAGGACAGACTGGGCTGCTGTGAAATCAGAAGAGCCCAGGAGAGGGCAGTGGGGACACTTGTGCCAACGGCTGCTGCTGGGTGTCAGAATCACCGGGGGTCCAGCCTGACCTGTACTTGGGCCTGGACCTGAGTCACGTGGCGTGGCCTGGGCTCTACCTTGTAAAATGCATCTTCTTTAGATGCTGCTGACTTCAGCATTTCCCACATGGGCCACCTGCACTCTAGGGTGGCTATAATGAGGGAGTCGATGAGCTCTAACTCCTTCCTCCTCCTCCCCCCATCACTTCCTCCAGAAAAATTGCAGTCAGGGGGTCACAATGTCCACTGAAAACTTAACCAAGCAGCAAAGCAGAGCTTACTCTCTTACGGAGGCAAAGAAAATGTCCTTCCCCAAAATCCTCCACAGGAATGCCCTGTCTGGGTTTGGAAGAAATCTTTAATAAAGCCAATATGGTCTCTGTTCGTTTTATTCTTAAGAGTGAGAAGACAGATAGATGAGAGTAAAGGAGATAATGAGTGACAGAGATGATCTACAGAATTGGAGCGAGGTCCCCAGAGTGAGCTCTGCAAGGCTGGAGTGACAGTGAACACTTCTATAGCACGTGTTGCACCCTGGGCTGTTCTAGGTGCTTCTCACATATTTACTCATGTAACCTTCCTTCCAGCCCGGTACGGTGAATGCTATTATGATCCTCATTTTACAGATGGCAGACTGAAGCACAGAGCAGTTAAACAACTTGCCAAAGATCACACAGCTAGTGAATGTTGGAGCCAGGCTCCAAATCCCTGCAGTTTGGCTTTAGACATCTGAACTACCTCTGTGAACTTCTAGAATGATTTATATCAGCCGTTTTGGGTGTAGAAACTGAAGAGGGGGTATATTTTATGCTGAGGAGAATGAGAGGGCAGACAGAGGAAACAGAGGAACACGCTAGAATCTGGAGGCCTAATCCCCTCCACCCCCAATTCATAGAAATCTTCAGAACAAAAATGAGAGGTCGAGGCAATCCTAGGAAACTCTTCTGAGGGTGCAGAGATCTGAGTTATGTTCGATACTAATGATGAGAATAACAGTATCTACATTCACGGGCCTAATTTAATCCACACCATGACCCAGGCCTGGGTGCCTCAGACCTCTGCGGCCCACCCTGCCCCTCGGCTGCTGCTGGTCTCTATCTGTGGACCTTGCGGGGGCCCAGGGCCCTTCTGGGTGTGCAGTGGTACATATACCTAGCAGCGCAGTCTGCTCAGCCTGCATCCTCGCATGTTCCTCCTGTAGCTCTTGCCTAGCCTTTTCCTCCAAGGACTGGAGCTCCAGCTGGTGTGCTTGGTGTTGGATCTGGAGACTGTGACTGAATTCCTTCTTCAAGCGCTCCTCAGTGGCCTGTGGCCAAAGGCAGGAAGACAGAGGCATGGAAGTGAGGACCTGTCCCTTCAGCCAAGCTCCTCCAAGCCAGGGGACTCTGAGCACTCACCACTCCCCTGTGGAGGGCTTACCAGACAACAGAGACTGCTCCTGCGATGGGCTAGCCCCAGCAGCCCTTTTGTATGGTATGAATTTACCTCCATCCATGACTAACTTGACCAGAGTGGACACCTGCTCCAAACTAGGCCAATGACAGCTCCTTTGTTAGAAGTTTGGAATTGGAGATAGGGGAAAGAAAGAGCTAGACAGACACTGACTGTAGAGCTCTCAATTTAACATACTCAGGAGCACCAAGGTGAGCATCTTATATCTGCTCCAGGACCGGCAGGGCAGAAGCAGCTGCCTGTGGAGAAAGCCCAGGGCTGGTGTGCAGAGCAGAGAAGAAATGATGGAAGGTTGGGGGGGAGGTCCTGGAAGACCTTGTAGCTTTTCCATCCCTGGTCTGGTTTGGTCTTGAGAACTGGCTGTGCATCTGCCCTTCGGCTTATTTTTATGGTCATGCTTTTGTTCATTCATTCTTTTATCCATATTTATTTATTTATTTTTGGTTTATTTGTGCTTTCACTCAATGGACATTTACTGAAGGCCTACTATGTTACTACGTGTCAAGCACCCACCGCAAGTTCTACCGACAGCTGTGCAAACGTTAATAAAGTTCTCCTCACTGCCTGCCAACCAAGCTCTGTTGGTTTCTTTGCTAGATACAAAAATGACCCCAAAGATGGTTTCTGAATCCTCAGAAACTAAATTTGTCACCTTAAAAGATATTTGGGATTCTGAACTGTCTACATACTACAGTAGAAGAGGAGTTTAGGTCTCACACTGCACCTCTTCCATCCCCCCTGGGTGCTTATCTCACTTTCTGAACATGTTTAAATATACTCCATGTTTCCTTTATGCGAGGTTGTGAATATCACTCCCTATTGAGCTTGATAATTATGATGAAAGTGCTGCCATGTGCAGCTTTCTGTTTCCCCTGTATTAATCAGGGCTGCCTTTTTTTGCTTGCTGTTCTTTGACTATTTGGGTGCATGTTCCTACAGTTTCTGAATGCTTTCTAAAACACTTTCGCTGCAATTTTCCACATGGCCAGTTTTCTCAGTTCTATTTTCCCCAGGAGACATCCCTTCCGGAGCCCTCAGCACCCTCGCTGAGTCTGGCCTCCTGACGCCTCCTGCCTCGCTCCTGCACTGTGTTGGTGTCTGTCCCACCCCCACCCCCTGGCCCCACCCCCACCCCCACTCCCCTTTGCTTGGCTTGCTGCCTTCTTGTGAGACACCGTCAAGGAAGGGCAGGAAGAGAATGCCTTCGAGAATGCAACGCTTAAGCCAGGCCAGAAGGTGGGAGACACTAGATGAGACGCGCTTGGACTGCCCTGCTGGATCATACGCGCTTGGGGACCTGACCACCATGGTGGGTCCAAACCCTGTGAAGGTCCTTGGGGCTGAGCTGATTTTTCTCAACTTTGCACTGTTCTTGAGGGGAGCAGATCCTTATCATCTGTGGGACTGAGACTGACTTCCCAGCAAGCATCAAGCAAGACATTGCTTATGTACCAGAAGCAAACTTTTCTTATGTTATCAAGACCACATGTGGGTGGGAAAAGCAATACAAGAAGCTCAATGGACCTTCAGCAAAGTCTGATTCTTTGTTTTGCCACTTACTAGCTGTGTGTTCCTGAGAAAGTCACTAAACCTCTCTGAGCCTCTTTTTTCATCTGGAAGAAGGGAATGTAATAATAAAGACCTTGTAAGATGACTGTGGGGGTTAGAGAAAATGTAGAAAGGGCAGCACTTATTGTCCAGCAGGTGCTCATACAGCAGGTGCCTGGAGGGTTGGCCTCACAGTCCTCACTCACCTTGAGCTCCTGTGCCTTGGCCTTCTCCAGCACACGCAGTGCTCTCTGCTGTGAAGCCTCGAGCTGGGCTCTCGCTGCCTGGCTGTCCTGGAGCTCCCGCTGCAGCTTGTCCCTCTCGTGGTCTGCGAGCTGCTTGAGTACCTGCAGGTCCTCCCTGTAGCTGCTGGTGCAGTGCTCCAGAGCCCGCTGCATCTGTGACACCTGCCACGGGGCGTTCTGCCCTCAGCCTAGGCCCCTTCCTTTCCTGGATTTTGTTGTTTTTAATACAAGCTTTCTGAACATCACTTCAACCCAGCTGAGCCGCCTCTGTCTGTGAGAACTTTGAGCTAGGGGAAGCTACAAACTTCGGGAACCTGGGGGAGACTAATCCTCCCAGGGGCCCTTCACCTTGAGCCATGAGTGCCAGGAAAGAGGGGAAGACAGGCTGGGACACAAACCTTCCAGGAGAGGTCAAGAGGGGACCAGAAAGCCTCCATGGGCCCACCCTCCCCTGGCCTCTTTAGGTACTTGCTTGAACCGCACTTCCCTGTTGAGGCTTTTCCTGACCCAGGCCCTGTGTGCTTCCACATCTCCAGTCCCCTCCTCTAGGCTCTGTTTTCTCTTTTTCCTAAAGCCCTTCCCTCCCTCCCTCCCTCCTTCCATCCCTTCCTTCCTTCTCTCCTTTTGTTTTTAGACAGAATCTCATTCTGTTGCCCTGGGCTTGAGTGCCATGGCATTATCATAGCTCACAGCAACCTCAAACTCTTAGGCTCAAGCGATCCTCTATAGGCACCTGGAACTTCTGTGCTCAAGCGATCTACCTGCCTCAGCCTCACAGAGCCACTGTGCCCAGCTGTCCTTATTACTTTCAAAGGAACTATATGATCACCTTACATCCTGTGTCTAGCATTTATCATCTGTTCCACCTCCTCTGAAGAAAATACAAAATATATTGCCTGCTCTCACCTCTGCTACTAAAATAAACATGTATATACATTCCTGATATATAAAATACATTTTGTCAGGTTTGGTCATTGATGGTTCATTGTAGGTGTTCCTGAGCCAGCAGGATTTGCACAAATGAATGGATAAAACCAAGAATCCTGCTTTGCGCAGACCTGCCATGCCCTCCCAGCTTGAATATGCACTTCCCAGGTTGTCTGAAAGGAGGTGGAGGAGGAGGAGGCAGGGTCCCCACAGTGTGTGGGCCCATCCCCACCAGAGCTGTCCCTCTACCTGGGCTTGCAACGTGGCCTTTTGGCTCTGCCAGACCTGCTGAAGACGCTGGATTTCAGGGGCCTTCTCCTTCTGCAAAGTCTCCAGTGCGGGCTGCGGGTCACTTCCCTCCTTGTGGGGCACTTTGATCCTTTGAAGATAAGGAGGCAACAATCACAAAGGATCCCAGGACTGGGGATGACACTGCCACCCTGGTAATGTGTCAGCCAGTGTGGCTGGAGGAGGGAGCTTCAGTAGCTGCTAGTGGGGTGAGAAATACACTGGTGACTCAGGGACCAACCTGACATGCAGAGCAAGTGTTACTGCACTTATGACCGCCAGGGGGCAGCGGGAGCCACCTGGTATCTGGTTACTGGGTGCTCCATAAACAGACTGTCAGGATAACTGAGTCACTTATATGTGGGATCCTTGGGGGCTCCAAAATGAGGCCTCTTGGGTCTCATTTCACAACCCTTTCTGCATATGAGGAAAAAAGAAACAAAAATGCTTTACTTTCATACAATTTTACATAGGCCTCTACATATGTAGTATGGGTAAGAAATGTGGGTTTAAAGCTACAAGAGCATCTGCACTATAGATAAGATGCTGACAAAAGTCTTGAGAGGAGAGCAGAGCCCCCTTCCTAAAGAGTCACAAACCAATGGGGGAGTCCGCAACATGAGAAAACAAACTGTTCCTGACCCCTCAGCTGCCCCACTGGTATACAAATTTAATTCCTAACTTTTGGATCAGCTGAGAAACTCAAACGTGATTGGTTTAGATTTACATTAAGTATTTATCTTGTTTGATGATGTACAAGGATGCTGCATGGGATGAGAAGGTGGGCATCTCTGTAGAGGTTCCCAGGATGCTCTGCTTCCTCTGGTAAGGACACCAGGTCAGAGAAGCAGAGGCCGGGGATTAGGGGCCTGCGCTGTGAGCAGAGAGGCCAGGAGAAGGGCAGTTGGCAGAGAGGTGAGAAGGCCCAGGCTGGGGAGTTAATGGGAGGACAGTTGACAGGGACCCCTGCAAGCAGGGTAGGATGCCACAAGAAGCACAGGGACATGGCCAAGAGCTGTAGCCTCTGGCTCCCAGGACGTGGACTGGTATCTGTCTGTGGCCTGTTAGGAACTGGGGCACAGCAGGCAGTGAGGGGCAGGAGAGAAAGCCAAGCTGCATCTGTACTGACAGCTGTTTCCCATCACTCACACTCACCACCCGAGCTCCGCCTACTTTGCCCGCCTTCCCCTGTGGCCTGTAGAAAATTGTCTTCCATCAAACAGGTCCCTGCGGCTCGGCGCCTATAGCTCAACCGGCTAAGGCGCCAGCCACGTACACCTAAGGTGACGGGTTCGAATCCCCAGCCCGGACCCGCCAAAACAACAATGATGGCTGCAACCAAAAAAAAAAAAATAGCCGGGCGTTGTGGTGGGCGCCTGTGGTCCCAGCTGCTTGGGAGGCAGAGGCAGGAGACTCGCTTGAGCCCAGGCGTTGGAGGTTGCTGTGAGCTGTGATGCTACGGCACTCTACCCAGGGGGACAGCTTGAGGCTCTGTCTCAAAAAAAAAAAAAAAAAACAGGTCCCTGATGCCAAAATGTTGGGGACCCCTGGCTAAGAGCATGGTGCTAGAGCCACACAGCTGGGTTTCAAATTCCAGCTCTACTATTTACTATTTATGTGATCTTGGTAAGATCTTTAAACTCTCTGGGCCTGAGTTTCTTTCTCTATAACATGGGGTTAATAATGCTAATTTTACATAGGGACTGATAAAGTTCACATTCATAAAGTACTTAAAATAGGGTCTGGCACATAGTAAGAATCATATAAAGAGCTAAGTCAACATTTATTTTTTTTTCCTAAGTCAACATTTAAACACAGAGGAGTTTTCTTTCTCTGCATTCTGATTCTCTTACACATTATCCTCAAGCCTTCTGAAGATGTGCTGAGCTCAGCCATCTTTAGAGAGTGATGAAGGAAAAACATCTGGATCTGAGCTCTGGGTAAGAAACCAACTCGAGGCTTAGGAGGAGGCCAGAGAAGCAAGGAGAGCAGCCTAGAGCAAGAGCGACAAGTGGCAACACCAGGTTGGCTGTGCCAAACAGGTAAACCCGTGAATCCATGTGAAAGGGGTAGACATCCTCCCAGGATAGTTATTATCATTATTTAGAGCCACGGTCTCATGATGTTGCCCAGGCTGGAGTGCAGTGGAGCAATCCTAACTCACTGTGGCCTTGAACTCCTGGGGTCACACAATCCTCCTGTCTCAGCTTCCCAAGGGTCTAGGACTACAGCCTCCACTATGTCTGGCCCTATTTTTAAATGTTTTATTGACGTAAAATTCACATATAGTGAAATGCACAGATCTTAGGTGTACAGTTCAGTGAGGTCTGGTAAATACATATAACCATGAAACCAAAATCTCAAGTCAAAATACAAAACATTTACGTTAGCCCCAAACTCCCCTGGCAGCCAAAGCTCTGATTCCCGTCACCATAGATTAAATTTGCCTGAGCTTAAGTAGGATCCTAACAGAATACTGTGGTGAGTATTCTTTGGTTGCAGGCTTGTTTTGCTCAACCTAACTTCTCTGGGACTCACCCATGTTGTTGCGTATGTTGGTAGTTGACATCTTCTGTTGTTAAGTAGCATCCCATCTACGTGACTATCCCATTTGTTTATCCATTTTCCTTACTAAGAGACATTGAATTGTTTACACTTCAAGGCTATTATGGGTGAAGCTACTAGAAATAAATTTGTCCAAAGGTTTTTGCAGATGTATCTTTTCATTTCTTTTGCTTAACTGCCTAGGAGACAAACTGCTGGTAGGTATGTGCTTAAATTTTTCAGAAATAATCAAATAGTCTTCTAGAGGGGGTGTGCCATTGTATACCCTGCCAGCAGTGTCTGAGAGTTCCAACTGCCCTATGTTGTTGCCAACATTTTGTGTTGGCAGTGTTTTTTTTGTTTGTTTGTTTTTTTAATTTTAGCCACTCCAGGGGATGGGAAATGATATCTCATTGTGGTTGCAAGTTACATTTCCCTGGTGCCTAATGATGTTGAGTACAGGTTCATGTGCTTATGGGCCATTCACATATCTTTTATGTAGGTGTCTATTCAAGCATTTTGTTCATTTTGAAAACTGGTTTGCATTTTTGTTACTGATTTATAAGAATCTTTTACATATTTTGGATACAGACTTGAGACTTTCTCCCAGTCCGTGGCTTATCTATTCACTTTATAAGGGTAATTTATTTTAAATAAGCAGAACTTTCCATTTTGATGGAGTTTTTTCTTTTATGATGAGTGTTTTCATGGTCTATCTAAAAAATTATTGCCTACCACAAAGTTGCAAAGATATTCTTTTACATTTTCGTTGTTAGGTTTAGAACTATGAAACATCTCAAATTTGTTTTGTATGGGGGTAAAAATAGGGACTGAGGTTCATTCTCTGCCAAGACAGTTTGCTGAAAACCTTTTTCTATCCCCATTGAATTATGTTGGCACTGCTAACAAAAATTGATTTATCAACTATGCATGGATCTACTTCTAGACACCCTGTTACATTTCATTGATTTGTCTGTACACTGATGCCACATAGTTTTTATGATTCGAGATTTATATTATGACTTTTTTTTTGAGACAGAGTCTGACTTTGTCTCCTTGTATAGAGTGCTGTGTCATCGTAGCTCACAGCAACCTCAAACTCTTAGGCCTAAGAGATTCTCTGGCCTCAGCCTCCTGAGTAGCAGGGACTACAGGCAGCTGTTATGATGCCTACCTAGGTTTTTTTCCCTATTTTTAGTAGAGACGGGGGTCTCACCCTTGCTTAGGCTGGTCTTGAACTTCTGAGCTCAGGTGATCCACTCACCTCAGCCTCTCAGAGTGCCAGGATTACAGGCATGAGCCAGTGCCAGGATTATAGGCATGAGCCACTGCGCCTGGCCTATGTCTTGAAATTAGGTAGCCTGAGTCCTTCAACTTTGTTCTTCAAGATTTTTAATTTGGGAGTTTTTCTAGGTCATTTGCTTTTGCATATTGATTTTCAAAGAAGCTGATTTGTTTCTATAAATAAGCCTATTGGGATTTTGCTTGGGATTTGAATTGAATCTATAGATCAACATAGGGTAAATTAATACCTCAATTGTATTATATAATTTCAATCATGATCATTTTGTCCATAAATAAACATTTCTACTCTTGCTTCCTAATCTGTATTTCTCCTCTTGTTGTATAGTAACTGGCTAGGATCTTCAGTACAATGCCAATTACTGAGAGCAGAATTTTTGCCCTGTTCCCACCCTTAGCAGCATTTCACCATACAGTATATTGTCTGTAACTTCTCCGAGATGACCTTTCTCAGGTCCAGAAGCCTCTCTTCCATTCACAGATTTTCTGCGAGTGACAAAGCTCCCCTATCTCTCAAATCCGAACCTGAGCCCTCATTCCCTGGAGCGCATGAAGTCTGCTGCCCTCCCATACCTTCCTTCCTCCTCACTGCCGGCTCCTTCCTCCACTGCTAACTTATCTTGACAGTCTTCTCCCCTGGGTGGTGTCTGAGAAGTTTCATTCAGCTTTAAGCATGGATCCTGCAGCAAAAAACATGGCAAGATGAGATTAAGTACAGCTCCCTGATTCAGCCTGTGGCTTATTCAAAGCGGAGTCGGGTGCCAGCTCACATGGCTGAGAGGATGAGGGGCCTGGCACAGCGCCTGCCTCGCCACCAGTGCCAGCCCTTATCCTCAGACCCTGGGTTTCAGTCTGCAGAGCATGTCACACAGCCAACAATGCTAAAGCACAAAGAAAGAAAGTGACCTGGCCAGAGTCCCACAGTCACTGACTGAGCAGTGGAAATGGGAGACGCTGCCAGGCAGCAAGACCCTGGGACCTGAACTCTTCACCACTTCATGATACTGTCCCACGAATAACCCACAGGGGGTGGTTTGTGCAGGCCCACCTCACGGGGCTGCTGTGAGATGTGAGAACAGTGCTGCTCACAGGCAGTGTAAGTAGAGACACTGTAATTATCACTATCATGCGGCCTATTTTATAGGTCATCATATGCTACATCTCAGTAGGTAGGATCAGAAAACACGGCACCTGCTGAATGACCAGAGCACTGAGAAGTGGGTTTGGGAGAAGACTGCAGTGACTATTAGTTAACCACTAGGCTTCTGAATTGTTTATGAACTGAATTTGTTCACATTGTCATTCTCCACCTTTCCACACAGATATAAAGGCATAAAAGACTTTCTTATTTTGTCCTTTATCCTACTTGTCACTGTAACCATTGTCTATGAAAACAGTGTAATAACAAAGGCTAAGAACAGATTTATTTGTCGTTAAATCTCATTAAATGATGATAAATTGCAACCAAGGTTTTTCACTAAGTTGCACGGCCTTGAGTCACAAATCTTCTCCTTTCTGGACCTGAGCCACTATGCCCAGCTCCTAAATTTAATCTTATGCCCTATGTCATTCCCCACAGTTTGTTTCTCTGATTAAACCCTGACACACCCTTTAGTCTCCAAATGTACTTAGTCTTTAAGGCCTGATTCTACTGTGACCTTCTCTCTTTTGTTGTTACACTCCATCCTCTCAAAGTTCCCATAACTATTTTTTAAACCAGGCACTGCTGTAGGGGGCACATGAATAAATAAAATAGACAAAAATTTTTCTGCCTTCTATTAGTTATAGGAGCATTTTCTCTCTCCCTTCCTATAAGTGAAGGTAAAAGTAATCCCAGATATAGTTTTTTTTAAATGCTATACATTCTATAGCTAGTAATGGAGAACCTCCAGCACAGTTATTTATCATAACTTGAATCCTCCCTTTACATTGTGTAACTAGTTGACACCCCCCAGTCACAGGGCCCAGAAAGTTTGGTGCATTGTTATGCACTTTCAAAATTGATATAACTGAACAGAATACATGACCTACAAAGAAACAGGAAGCTGAAGCTATAATGCAGAGTACAACCTACATCTGGACCTCCTGTGCCCCCTAGTTTCAGGTATTTGGGGCATGGAAAATATCTTAGAGATCTCCAATTCCCCTAAAGCCCAGCAGCAAGTATCACAGTCTGAGCAGAACCACTCTGTGAGTGATCTGTTGTAAATACAGGTTCTACATAAACCTGGGGAAAAGTCAGGGTGAATGTGGAAAAACAACAATAAAAAATCCAAACAGCATGCAGACCACTGAAATATAAATACATAAATGATGTATAATTAATTAGGTCCAGGTTTCAAAAGGAAAATCAGGGTTACAAAGGAATCTGGGTGATTAGAAAGCACAAAATATGAAACATGTTGGCGAAGACAGTTCTAATGACAAACACAAACTAAGTTCAATGTGCAGATCTACCCTGATAAAAGGAATTAGTCGCTCACTAAAACACTGTTATAATGAACCTATAGGCACAGAAAAGCAGGGCTTGAAAGCATAAGGCAGAATGTCCATAACTGTAGGGAGAAATGGAAAGATCTGTAATTATAATGGGAGATGTTAATATATTATCTCAGAAATTGATACATTAAACAAACAAAATAAGCTAGGATACGGAAGATTTGAGCAACTAGATCAATATACTAAGCATAATAGCTAAAAAAGAAACAAATAGCTACTAACATTTACACTTAATACGTACCGGGTCCTCGATGTAGCCACATAAAGAATACATCCACAGAGCTGGAATTCAAATATGTGTGCTTTAGCCACTAAGCTGAGAATATACAACTCTTTTTTTCTATCCATGGGGAAAATTTTAAAAAACTGATGCCACATTAGTCTAAAGAGCAAATTTCAACACAGTTCAAAGTGTGGACATTTTACAGTCTGTGTTATCTGACGGTGCTGCAATAAAATGAGGAAGCAATAAGAAAGTAGGTTAAACCAGTGAGATAACCTTCAAAACTCTGGGATACAGCTAATATGGAAATTGAGAGCCTTAAATGTATTTACTAGAAAATATTTAAGAAGTTAGGAAAAGAAAAAAAGAATAAACTCAAAATAAGTAGAAGTAAAGCAATATAAAATATAAAAAAAAATAAAATATAAAAAATAGATATGACCAGCACATCTGAAAGCTGGATTTTTGAAAAGATAAATCAGACTCTGGTCAAGGACAAGGGGAGAAGAAACTCAGTGCAACACGAAAGACAGTTATTACAGAGAGTAAAAAGAATTCCAAATGTACTCTGAGCCACCGGCAAGCCTGTGAAAAGGAATCTGCCAGAGGTAATTTCTGGGCCACTCTATCGACTGCTGCTATATTTAAAGGAGTTCTGGGCAGAAGTCCAGAAACAGAGAGGACTAAAGACACCAAAATGTCTGATGCACCTGGATAATACCACTGGCTCACAGTTACATTGCATTTGTTTATTTTCATCATTATCTCACGGATGTATATTACTCTGTGAGGCTGCCGGGAAAGGGGAGCTAAGATTGCAGAAGGCTACTGAGTTGTTTCAGGTCACACAGCCACTGGAAAGGGGACAGGAGGACTAGGCCCTTGTACTGTCTGACTTTCATCCATGTCATTCCAAGTTACTGCACTGGCTCTCAGCTGTGCTCTGCTGACATGATCACCAGCTAATAGCATCAGAGCCAATAGAATGTGAGCTCAAACTGTGTTGTGCGAACATATGCTGAGAAGTATCTGCAAAACAGACTCAAAACCAACCCCAGAGGAGTGATGTCAGCAACATGGCAGAGGAAAACCCTGGCCCCCCTTTCCCCTATAAACACAGATTCAGCAATAATTCATGGACAAATTCAATTTATGAGAAATCAGAAACTAACCAAAAGGTTTCTATTGAGACTGCTAAAATGTTCTCCAGATAAGCAATAGGACTGTTTCGCTGCCTTTTTGTTTTGAGACAAGGTCTTACCCTGTCACACAGGCTAGAGTGCAGTGAGAGCATAGTTCACAAGAACCTCAAACTCCTGGGTCCCAGTGATCCAACTGCCTCCCTGGAACTACAGGCTGGTCCACGATGCCTGGATAATTTTTCTATTTTTAGTGGAGGTTGGTCTTAAATTCCTGACCTCAAGTGATCCTCCCAAAGTGGTAGAATTACAGGCATGAGCCAGTGTGTCTGGTCTGTTTTGCTTCTTTACTATTTGTGTTTTCACTGGAGTAGCGCGTAATTTCCTTCAAGATCTTTTCCTCTGCATTCACAATTCACAGTTGCATTCACAACTGATGAAGAGGCTTAACTTCTGGCCTGTCTTGGTGTACAACATGCCTCCCTCACTAAGCTTCACAATTTCTAGTTTTTGATTTAAAGTGAAAGAAGTTCTAGTTTTCCTTCCACTTGTACACTGACAGACCATTGAAAGGTTATTAATTGACCTAATTTCAATATTGTTGTGTCTCAGGGAACAGAGAGCCTGACGAGAGGGAGCAAGATAGTCAGTGGAACAGGCAGAACACACACATTCATCAGTTCATTCAACATCATATATGGGCACGGTTCAAGGTGCCCAAAAGCTATTTATTGTAGTAACATCAAAGATCACTGATCACAGATCACTTTAACAGATATAATAATAATGAAAAAGTTAAAAATATAGGAAGAATTGCCAAAATGTAACACAGAGACACAAAGTGTATTTTTATTTTTATTTATTTATTTTTTTTGAGACAGAGCCTCAAGCTGTCCCCCTGGGTAGAGTGCCATGGCTTCACTGCTCACAGCAACCTCCAACTTCTGGGCTCAAGCGAGTCTCCTGACTCAGCCTCCGAAGTAGCTGGGACCACAGGCGCCTGCCACAATGCCCAGCTATATTTTGGATGCAGCCGTTATTGTTGTTTGGCGGGTCCAGGCTGGATTTGAACCTACCACCTTAGGTATATGTGGCTGGTGCCTTAGCTGCTTGAGCCACAGGTGCCGAGCCAGTGTATTTTTAAATTAAGGTATATACATTGTTTTTTTTTTTTTTTTAAACAAAATGCTACTGCACACTTAACAGACTACTGTGTAGTATAAAAAGGGCTTTCATATGCCTGGAGAAACTAAAGAATTTGTATGACTTTCTTTACTATAACACTCACTTTATTGTGGTTGTCTGCCACTGAACCCACAATATCTCCAAGGTCTGCCTATATAATGGAGCCAAAAAATTCCTATTGCCTAGTGATGTTGCAGTCATTGTAAGGACAGCACAATGTGTTATCTTTTCTATGTTTAGATACACAAATACTCAGCATTGTGTCACAATTGCTTACAGTACTGGGTACAGTAATATGTTCCTTGATGTTGCCATAGAGCCCAGGTGTGTAGTGGGCTACGCCATCCAGGTTTGGGTCATTTCTCAGAATGGATCCCCATTAAGTGATGCATGGACTGTATTTTACACATGAACTTGACCATGGAGATCCACAAATTGCTGGTGAATGAGCACTGTCAAGCTACTTGTTTTAATTGTCCACTTCTCTGAACTCTAATTGGAGTAGATTCCCCAGCTGTCAATATTTTTGTTATGTGCCTAGGATTCCAGGGACCCCTCTGGGAGGAACATCCCTGAGCCACTGCTGGTGCATCACAAGTTATCTGATTCCTGATTCTGGGTCTAGATCTGAGAGTAACCTGATTCCTCCTTCTGGGTCTCCATTAGCTGTTTTGCTCAGTTTCAGCCAAACTTTCTCTCCAGTATTAAAGTGGCCTGGAATGACTAGTGTAAACAAAAAAATAGACAGTTCTGCACCTTCTCCCAACCACTCACTGGAAAAGCATCCTCCCAACTCCCCCCAAGCAAATGGCTGGTTGTTTTAAACCTGGGTTCACATTAATTATTCATTTCTCATCTTCTAGTCATTTGTCCTCTTCTGGACTGTTTCTATTTTATTTTATTTTTATTTTTAATTTTAATTTTTTTTTTTTTTTT